CTCAGCTGGATAGCCGACCAGTTGGTCTGCTTAAAGTGTATCTATTGGGGGAAAGGCCAAGGATTGCGGATTAAGTGTGTTTTATTAGGCAATGCAAATGGTCTGCCATTTCAAGCGACCAAACACTCACCTCAGAAGAAAAACTGTGATCAAACATTACAGTGAGAAACACCAACAAATCTAATCTTGTAAGCACACATGAGGGACAAATTTATTCTAATTTAAACAAGGAACAAATAAATATTAGTAAATATTTGTAAAGGGACCACAAATAAAATATAACTAGTTAAAATTCATTTTCCAAAAATCTATTAATATAAAATCTAGAACACAATATGCAAATACCATTAAATTATACAAGGATTGGCTGATTGAGTAGTTACACAATATTCAAAACAATTTTGACCACTTAAACGAGCAATTAAAGTAAGTAACTGGTTCAATAATTCGATCTTTTACTGTACTTTTTTGCCTGCTTGGCCCACTTTGCGAACTGCGGCATTTGGCTTTCTGCGATTTGCGATCTGCGATTTGTATCTGCGAGATACAAACATGCTTTTAGCAGCATTATAAACATTTTGTTGCCCAACATTTTTGCTACTATTTGTCATCGCTAACGCATTCCGCGAATCAAAATCCGAGAACGGGGCATTTTCGGGGATCTTTAATTGCTTTTGATAAATCGCCGCTTAATCCGCTTAAGTATTTCGCCTGGGTTTTTTATTTTCGACTAATTTTTCAGTGCACTAATTAAACAAAGGACACACATTTTAAGCTCTCGAAATGAATGTGTTTTTTATGCGCGGACCTCAAATAAATTGGAGTTTGTCTGATTGGAACTTGGATTGGAGTTGGAATCGTAGTCGGGGTCTGATTGGGCCATGGCTAATTAGCGTGGGGGGCAATCCATCATCACGGCAAAACACCGCATCATCACTTCCCCCCAAAAAAGACTTCACAACAAACTCTCCACATTAATTCGGCATTAAATTTCATTTTCAATTGTGGCCGCCAACTGAAATCCAAGTCCAAATCGAATCGGATGAATCGATTATTGGGCAATTTCGAATATGGAAAAAATTACAACGTGTCCATTAGATTATTAACTTGGCTCGAAAAATCAAAAACCTGCTGAGCTGAGCGGCATGTGTGTTCAGTTTTCGGACCTGGAGTTGGAGTTTCAGCTCATTAAAGCGCTCCAAACTGAATCGGAGTCGGCCGTCGCGCCTCCTTAGTTCAATTATAAAGCAATTGAATTAGCCTACGAGTATCCAAATGGCTCTCTGATCTCGGACCAATCCATCAATCAGGTAATCCAGCGGTTACGCAATATTACAGACTGCCAATTTTGGCGCGTGAGTTTCTTGGGCTAATTGAAGGCGAAGTACGCGGCGGCGTGATGTGCAAATTTGGATTTTCGTTCGGTTTTTGTGTGGAAACTGGGTTACCGGCTTAGTGGGTTAAATGTGCCGCACGGGTTAAGAGGTCCACACAACGGGGGAGGCCACTAAAGAGATTGCGCCAGTCCCTTTGTTTGCATCGTATTACAACCTAATCAAATCTCACTGGCTTTAAAATCCTATAGAAATAAACTTCACTATTTATTAATTTTTTTACTTATGAAAAATAAATAAATAAAAAATACCTTTGTGCTTATACTTACCATACAAAATATATTTTTAATTGACTAAATAATCAAAGAAGTGAGATTAATCTGTTGATTGCTACGGACAAATAACGACCAATGTTATAACTATTTGGTTACATTCAAACTTATTATCAAATCTTGTCAAGTATTGAAAATTTTATCAATCGATACATCATACAGATGGTACTAAAACCTCTTCAAATCACAAATGTGTCCCTTCGCCATTTAATTTCCTTTTAATTATTCAGCTCTTCACAGTTTGTAAACCAGAAGGAATATGTGTATTTCGTATCCCTTAGTTGGCATATTGCGTGCCTCGTTGGAGTAAAAACGTTGCCCACCTTTCAAGTCGACCGGCACGCGCCTCATAAAAAAACATAAACTTCAGTGTCGACAAAATGCGGCGTAATCATTTGGCAGCGAAATCGGAGGTGGATGGGGTCCCCAAGTTCCATAGGTCCATGTCCATGTGCCATCGGAAAGTCAGACGGTAATAAAAACAACCCCAGAGGTCAAACAATTTTGTGGCACAATTTTAACACCTTTTAGACCGGGACTCGAGCCAACTGTCCGAAACTGTAGCGAAGGATCCTCGAAATATTTATGGGAAATGGGAATGCCATCTGAAAGGCACTGAAAAAAACTGTATTAAAAACCTTCTTTCTTTTTTATCTTCACTGTTTTAAGATAAATTTTAATAATATAAACCCTATTTTAGTTAAAGGATGTTTGGGAAAGGAATTAATCAAATTTAAATAGAGTGAATTTTATATTTGGTTTCCTTTGCCAATAAATAAAATAACGTATCCATCATCAATAAAATCTAATTTATAAAAAGATGTTATTAAAATGAATTGCTAACATACTGATATGTTATTCTGGGTTATTCAGATGCATCTCCCCCAGTGTATGTATGCATTTTTATGTATTTTGAGTCATCCGAAGTTGGTCAGAAATCGTGGCAGGACACGCGACCCCGAGCGCATAATTTAATTTTCAAGGATTCCCGCGATGGCACGGGGGTTGGAAAATGCGAGGGACGTGCGTGTGACATATGGTTAATGAAAACGTTAACTGATGATAAACTGGCAAACTGGCGGGCGGAGGAGAACTAGTCCCTCTGCATATTAGTTCCTGACATTATCATTAATTAGCGACGGAAAGGGGCCAGAAAACGCGATAGGCGTAGTGTGATAAATGTTGGTTGCTCTTGAATTTAGCAACGTTTAGCATGCAACAGTCGATGCCGACTCAAAAGCCGGGTTTTTCTATAACTGCGCTTGGAAATCCGACGACCAACGCATCTTCCACGGTGAGTCAGTTCGTGGGCTTTAATGTGGCCCCGGTCTTTTATTTTTTTTCTTTTTCTCGGCTAATGTTTTTCGCCTGCCCGCCCATGTGCCATGTGTTTTGGAGCTGTTTGCGACACTTTTTCGGCCAGGGTAAAGCCACTTTGCTGGGGGCTTTGTAATACCATTCGTATGTTAGTTGAAGAAATAAAGTTTTTTTCTTAAATCCTAAAATATTCATTTCATTTTAATATAACATACGAACTTGACAAATGTTTTTAAATATTAAGAACATTTGTCTAGTTATTGAAACAAAATAATAAAAATCAGATGAAAATACGTTCCGGAAAACGCAAAAAATTTAAGTGCAATGGTCAACTCTATTATCTGAAATCCTTGATAATCGTCTATTAGAACAAAATAATAAATATAAGAGGAAAATGCGTTCCTGAAAACACAAAACAAACTTTAATTTTATTTATTTTTTTAAGAGTATTTATAATTTCGACTTCATTTGACCAACCTTCTCTGGTTGTCTTTAAGTTTGTTTCTTCCATGTAATTGGTCTTTGTTTGCCATTTGATGTCATGTTCTCTGGGCTTTGGGTTCTCGATTCTGTGGGGTTGTGTAGGCTGCAGGTTGTCTGTCTTCTGTCTTCTTTTTTATTTTATTTTGTATTTTGTATTTTTCTTTTTAACTCACAACGATTGTGCAACACGCAATTGCGATTGCTTTCATGGGCGCTGATTCGCCGCTCGCTGCCTGCCATTTGCATGGAAATGGAAATGTTTGGCCAAATTACGCGTGCTCTTGGCTCAGTTTATGGCCAATATCCCCCTGTTTCCCCGCCCCTGTTCGCGTTTATTCGCGCTATATTGTTGTAAATTATTGCGGCTCCTTTGCAGCTTTTTCAGCGGATGTGCGCAATTTAAAGAGCTAGTTGCGAGTGCTAGATTGTCACTCGAATGTGGCAGAGGTGTTGGCCACACTTTGGGCCTAAGTTATGGCATGAGATGGTATAAATTACAAGTTTTTTAGGTCATTAGAAATATTACTACTGCATGTTTTACTATTGGTTTTGAAAAGCAACTTTAACTTTTAAATAAAAGTAACAATACCCATACTAAACATTAATATAAATAAGAAATTCTTACTCAAGTTGCTAATTGGTATGGAAACTACATTTTAATTAATTTTGATACTTATTATTAAACATTTTAAATTAAATAAATTGTTTTTCATTCCGGTTTACTACCAGGTACCTTATTAAACAGAAACGGAGCTCCGTTTATAAATACCTTGCGATCATTACATGCCCTTCAAGGCATAAATAAGCCAAATAAGGCGACTCCTCCGCGCAGTAGCTATCAGTTTAATTGAGATTGATTGTGGCCAACTTCCGCTGCAATGCCCAGCCATTTCGAGTACATTCCCCAGAAGACCCGATAGTTGGCCCTCGATAAGAGGACTCTGTGTGGGCACCAGTCGCCCCGTGACATCTCCGATTTCTGGGGTCGACCAAGATTTATGGCTCCTGTCATTCGATTCCCTTTCTGCTCCTTTTGCCACACTTGCTCATCTCACACATTTGCAGTTGCATTGATTTTTGTCACTTGGGGCAGCCGATTGGCATCGCATCGTCGCGTGCCCCACAATTAATCATCGAGTATCCAAGGGGTATCGCATCCAGGACAAGTATCGAGTATCTGCAGCTCATAAACGACAATCCGCGTGACATATGAAGAGTGATGTTCAGGAAGCGATGGTTCATTGTGCCACCGCACTTACAGATCGAAAACGTTTAGTGTAATTCTCAAAAATGGAGAATTCCTTTTAAACAGAGCTTAAAGAGTAGAGAGTAGAGTATTTTCATAGAAATGTTAAAAGATTGTTCTTCAAAAACTAATTTTTTAATTTATTCACCATTTTTCGTTTACAATGTTTTTTGCATTTATAGAAGAACATATATTTAAGTTTATTGGTCTTCACTCTCTTAGGACGTTTTCGTCGTAAAGATTCATAATCTATATGTTCAGTCTAAACAATGATTTAAGACGAACAGATTAATAGAGGAAGTAGGCAGCACATCTGAGTAGGATTGAAAGCGCTCTGGCAGGATGGTGGCGCATTAGGATTTCCAGCGAACTGTCCACGATCATGACCAGTAGTACTTCTCCATTTAAGTCCTCCTGGCGAATGTTTCTCCAGGGGATATCCCTTGCCATTGTGACGTACTGAACCCTGTCAGAAAGCGGAGGTACGGCTCCTGGTTGTGCCACCAAATGGACCGACTGCACCATGGTATCAGCATTCCGGCGATGGGGCGAACGAAGCGGCAAGAAGTGGGAGCGATCCAATTCCGCACGACCACAAAGTATAGTGATCCGGGGCCTCAATAACGGCGGAGATAATGTACTCAGAAAAAAGACAGCTCGATCCGTTTGACCTGCAAAATTCGCATTGAGGGCCCTGGATCTCTGGATTTGGATGCGACGGATGCGTTCACTGCGCCTAATTCCTTCGGACATTGTTTCAAATTTAGTTTTGATTTTATTTAGTCCAATTCAACAGTTTTCGTTGTTCTCTGCTCTGCAAACTTTCTCGTAATCCTCGTGTTGCAATTGCTCACTCTGCAACACTGGTGTGCAGTTTGGCTACCAAACAGTATTGACAAATACAAATCAGCTGATTTTAAACTTAATATGAAGTTGAAATTTGTTTCACTCCTTAAAAAATTTGTTTTTTGTGCAATATTTATTAATTAAGTTATTTCAATTAGTTATAAAAGTTTTTATTTAAGAATCTTCACTAACTTCAATGGCTTATAGGCAAATTGCTCTCTACAGAGACAAATAAAGCTTAACAAAATTTTCATATTAATAATCAATTATATATTTAATAAATATTTGACCCATTCGAAATATATAGTAACATCCCCGGACTTGGTAGAATTTTTGCCAGTTTATTTGTCAAATAACATTTGTAAAACCTCGGTACAAAAAACCAACTTTTAAATTCAGGCTACTAAAAGTTTCATCATATTTTGAAAAAAAAACAAAATGTCAGTCTTCAAATCTGTTACATTGGTTCCCAGGAATTATGTATAGATTTTAGTATATTTTAATTTAGAAAGTAGGCGGCAATGCGCAAGAGGATGGACATCGTTCTGGAAGGATGGCTGCGCATGTGGGTCTCCAGCGAAGGGTCGGCGATCATGGCCATCAGGAACACTCCGGTGATATCGTCCGGATAATGGTGGACAGGCCCAAGGTTAATGTGACCAGCCCATTGGGAAAAAGATGTGTACCGTATCCGTTCAAGATTTGAAGGTCGAGTTGCCGGTCCTCGCAACAGGACGGCCCTAACCAGAGAATTCCCATTTCGGCGATTGGACGAGTTCAGCGGCATGAAGATGGTACGATTGTCAAAAGAAGGACCAGAAAATATCTGCACCTGGGGCACAATACGCCTTCGACGAGTTGGTCGCGCGGAGCTGGTATCCAATATAAAGAGAGCTCGAGCAGTTCGACCTGGAGGAATCGGGTCGGAGGCCATGGATCTCTCCAATTGCATGCGACGGATGCGTTCACTGCGCCTAATTCCTTCGGACATTGTTTCAAATTTAGTTTTGATTTTATTTAGTCCAATTCAACAGTTTTCGTTGTTCTCTGCTCTGCAAACTTTCTCGTAATCCTCGTGTTGCAATTGCTTACTCTGCAACACTGGAGTGCAGTTTAGCTGCCAAACAGTATTGACAAATACAAATCAGCTGATTTTAAACTTAATATGAAGTTCAAAATTAAGGAAAATTTATTTTTATTTTTATTTCGCCGTAAACTTTTTGCCTTGCCTTCTGACACAAACGTTTTTTTTTGGTAACTCTGAAATGGAGGGCAAGATGGCAACCAGTGCTGGAAAAAAAGTTGTTTCTACATCGGTAGGTTGGTTTTATTTTTTACTTACTACATGGCCGTTAAGATTTATAATATATACATAAAAACCTACTCGTAGTTGAAGTAATCGTAATTAAAGGATCCTTACACGATGCGATTTTTAGGTGCTTAACCATTTAAATGGAGGAATTAAAATAATTTGTGGTCTTTCATATTCCGTGCTTGAATCTAAGATGTTAGTTCAATACCTTGGTCCAGCACTTACACCATTTGACCTAAAATTAAGTCGCAGATGAGAGGTCAGATCGTGTAAGCAGGCCTTTGATGACTTGGGCTGTCAGCCCAAGTGTCAGATACTCTCACTCTGCAACACTAGAGCTGCCAAGGTTGCCACAGGATAGGATTGCCAGCTCTTGGTGCTAAATATGGTAAATATGGCCATTAGTTTTGGCCAAGCACGACTTAGTTTATTCGCCCGTTGGGCACTTTTTGGTCCATTGAGCCTGTTTGCGCCTGATTATTATTATGCTTATGCTTATTATTGCAAAAAAGCGATTTCGCAGCAGCTGCAGCTCATTTATTGTTGTTGTAGGTGTTCAATTAAATATGCAAACAGTTTCACAAATGTGTCTCGACTTGACCGAGTTCAAAGTCAGCTCTTGCCAGCGCATTTCCAGTCTAGACTTTTGTGTTTTTTTTTCACTGCGAAAAGTTCATTGCCAAATGCAGCAACCGTTTTCTGTTTTCTTAGTTTTCTGTTTTCAGTTTTCAGTTTCCAGTTGCCACGGATCGATCGGTCGATCAACTGCAGCTGCATTGAGTCACAAGCCGGGTCGAAAAGCCCAGAAAATGGACAAGAAAGACCAGCGGACGGCGGCCAAGTTCCCAACCTCCAACTTCCAACTGCTAACAACAACGGTTTTTGTGGGCGGACACTGGCCAAATGGCTTTGAGTACCCTTTTCTAAGGGTGTCTTGAATTGATAGTGAACTAATAATGGGGGTGGATTTATAACAAAAAGATTTATTGACTCCTCTGTTAAGAACTTAAAAAAAATGGGGCTCAGGCTTATCCTATACTAAGGATTGACTTTTTCCAAGGATGTTTTAAATTAGTTGTATCGGGGGTAGATGTGAAAAGAAAGATCTATTAACTTTTCAATTATCAGAGGTTGCTACTTCTCCAATATTATAGTTTTTTTATAAACTCCAATTTGCCTTTCCTAAAAGTTTTTGTTAGATTTATAGACAAAATAAATATACTTAAGAGAGCTTTAAAGTATTTATTATATCTTATTGATAACCAATGGTAATATTTACTTTTTCTTAAAATAAAATATTTTACTTAACTTTATATCTCCTTATATATCCTTTTACTGCTATAAATAGCAAGGGCATTTTTCCTATCGGTTTTGCCCCAACTTGTTTCCCCTTCTTTGTATTTTCGATTTCACTGTGTTCTGACTTTTATTTTCGTTATAAATTCTGGGCATAAGACCATATCATTTCATTTTGATTTTGATTTAATTTACGGTTCTCGCTCGGACACTTTGAATAATGTTTGTCTATTTATAAATATGAATTATTTCCCAGCAGATTAGAGAGACCCGGTCATTGTTGTTCAACCACCGATCGCTGTGTGCTGCATTTTTAATTGCTAATTAATTTCCCCGACACACGAAATACAACAAGAGTGAGCGATAAGTGCGCTTTAAGTTTTCAATTACCCAGATATCTGGAGCCACACCCCCTCTGCGGCCCGAAAAACACCTGGTTAGGCTTATTTATCGCGTTGAGATTCGCATTATAAATTTAATTTAATTATACGTGAAGTGGTGCGTGGGCGTTTGTCTCTCTTTTTTGTATTTCTTTAGCGGGGAAACAACGGCGAAAAGTTGCCCCGCGACTCGCACTAAACAGCAATTAAGCTTAATTATAGTTGTCGCCGTTTTTAGCCAGCTTGTCTTGTGTTCGGCTGTCTTGTCTTGTCGCATATTGTTGTATGCAAAGCAGGCGCACGTCTGGCCAAAAAGTCTTGCCATTTTACCATTTGGCCGTAGAGCAGGCCAACTCGGCAGACTAGTTAGCCGCGGTTCCTGTTTCGCGCTTTTCCGTTTTTTCGGTTTTCGATTTCGGTGGTTGAAGGAGGTGCACGCAGAGAAAAAAGGGTCGAGATCTGTTTAATATTCTCATCAATGCATACCCTTAATTACATTTTAAGTGTGCTATTTTATTATTTAGTTTGCTATATTGAGCTATATACAATTTCAGTTCAATACTTGTTCAAAAATATATATTCGATATTGCAACATTGTTGGCAATACTAAATGTAATAATTCGAAAGTTATTTTTATACTTTTAGCTCACATATTAAAATGTATATATGAAGGTAGTAAAATTTTCTTGCTGTGATGGTGGATGGCCACCTCTGCAGTCCCCCCTTCTGACCAAATGTCACGATTACCAGACGGGCACGAGTGATGGCGTCTGCCTTCCCCCTTTTGCGCCCCTGAGCCCCTGAGGGGGTCCTCCCCCATTTGGCTAATGGGCGCTTTTATGTTATGGCCCGGCTTAAAATGGATGAGCTTGCTCAGGAGTTGCTGTATTTGTCTGAATGTGGGTTTTTTTGAGTCAATGTGGGTGTTGCGGCAGCTGGACTCGTGGCCCAAACGAAAGTAAAAGGTGTTACCAAATTGATGTTAGTGGTAGAGGAAGTAGGAAATGCTAACAGCCAAGAAATAAGGGGACATCTTGTAGATTTTAAATGGATTTTGTGTGGCAGTCACGTTATGGACTTAGAAGTGCAGGTTTTAGGCCACTTTTCTGCAAGGTCCATTTTTTTGAAAATTTGGAAAAACATCATTAACATCATTAAACGACGGAAAATCGACCCAAAAAAAAAAAAACTGAAAACACAGATAAGAGAATTAAACCACAATCATTTTGAGGTATGCCACTTTTAAATCGAATGTCTGTAAGAAAAGTTATGGGCTTAGAAATCCAGGTTTTGGGCCACTTTTCTGCAAAGCCATTTTTCGAAAATTTGGAAAGGGGTAATTAAACCACAATCATTTTGAGGTATGCCACTTTGAAATCGAATGTCTGTAAGAAAAGTTATGGGCCTAAAAGTGCAGGTTTTGGGCCACTTTTCTGCAAAGCCAAATTTCGAAAATTTGGAAAGGGGTAACATCATAAAAATGACGGAAAATCGTCAAAAAAAAAAAAAAACTGAAAACGCAGATTTTTAGAGAATTAGACCACAATCATTTTAAGGTATGCCACCTTAAAATCGAATGTTTGTAAGAGAAGTTATGGGCCTAGAAGTGAAGGTTTTGGGCCACTTTTCTGCAAAGCCTTTTTTTGAAAATTTGGAAAGGGTAACAACATTAAAATGACGGAAAATCGGCCCCAAAATACAAAACAAACTGAAAACGCAGATTTTTAGAGAATTAGACCACAATCATTTTAAGGTATGCCACCTTAAAATCGAATGTTTGTAAGAGAAGTTATGGGCCTAGAAGTGCAGGTTTTGGGCCACTTTTCTGCAAAGCCATTTTTCGAAAATTTGGAAAGGGGTAACATCATTAAAATGACGGAAAATCGACACAAAAAAAAAAAAACTGAAAACACCGATTTTTAGAGAATTAAACCACAATCATTTTGAGGTATGCCACTTTGAAATCGAATGTATGTAAGAAAAGTTATGGGTCTAGAAGTGCAGGTTTTTGGTTATTTCTTATGGTGTCATTTTCAGGATAATACTGTAAAGCTTAAAACTGTTTGAATAAAAGCATTTATTTACCGTTGTTTTAAATATAATTATTTTCTTTATTTGGGTATGAATAGTAATAATAATAATTAATTTAACTGTCAATTAAATAAAACTGATGACTTAATGAAACAACATAAAAATGCCAAAAGGTTAGTTAAATATAATACGATATCTGAAGTGTTTTGTAGTTAGCACATAAAAATGGCTAATTAAAGGCTAGGCAATGCCATTTTTTATTAAGAATATAAAAATCCACCCACAAGGAAGTGGAGTAGTTAATTATTGAATCACCTTTCGAATCGCTGAACATCTCATTCATTTCCATTCATTTGTGTTTCGCTATTCACAATTCCCTGTCGATTCGCCCGGAATCAATCAAAGTTCAGACTTGAGCTTAATTAGCTGCAAATTAAAACATATTCTTTGTATATCATTATAAACTCCACTGACACATTGGCCAAGTTGGCATAATGAGTGCACTTCCACTTCCCCTCGCTTTTCGCTCACAAATTAATTGAAATCATAAGATTTATCACATCTGCGATCTGACTGAAGCCGAATCAATTTCATGAGGCTTTGTTGCCATCGCGCACAATATCCCATATGGCCAAGTGGGTGCTGTAGACAAAACCTTTGTGCGACTTACTATATGCATAATATCCAGTTGTGGGGTCCCATTCCTACACGTACTTTAGGTTTATCCGGCGATCTTAAGCCAATTTAATAAGCGGGTTGCCCCGTTGTGGCCGCAAAGTTGAGCTGTCAGTCGCCAAATGATTAATCAGCCTGAAACGCACCACAATTAAAGAGTGGTGCTGGAATGGCACTGGATGGATGTGGATGTGAATGTGGATGTGGTTGGAGATGTGGATACAGATGGATGTGGGGATGTGCCAGTGGATGGTGAGATGCTGCGATGAATGAATGGGGGCATGCCAATGTCTCAACGCCCACGTAAGAGCATAATCGAATGATTATTACACATTTTTATTACACTTACAAAAAAAACTGTATAGTCAAAAATATTTTAATGTATTTTACTGTCATGTATTTGGGGACTTTATATCCGAGTTGAAATTTAGATTCACAAATATCGATTTGTAATCTTCATTTTCGAAAAATTGTTGCTCAAAGTAGGGAATTAACACTTTGGCTCATTGTTGGCATTAGTTTTAAAATACTGAACTTAAGTTTAAACAACATATTTAACATATACATTTATTGTTGAAACTAAGAAAATATCAATGGCAAGCATTGTATAAATATCTATCTCCATCTTAGCCAGACCTCAAATCATATAATCCCCTAATTAATTGCTTTTAAAGTTTCTTAAAATTATGATAAGTCAAACAGGTTTTTCTCCGAAAACATCACATAGTTCTTGAACTCTACCCTATAAATGAATACCCTCTCTAAGGGGCAAAAGCGAAATGATTTTTATCATCGCTCCAATCAAAACAACATGACGCGTTCGAATCGAAATGCAGGCAGACAATTGAAATTATTATTGTTATTTTTAACAATTTATTCGGGTCGCTTTCGTGGGGTTTTTTGGGGAGGGGGCAAAAAAAGACATTTGCTTGACATGTTTGTTTCGTGTACAAAATATTTTGATAATGATCGCGAGCCCCAGTACAACAAAACCCAATTGAGTTCGGCATGGGGTCACACTTATCGGGTTTACATTCCCATCTAAATGAAATTATTGTCTTTTTAGTCGATTGAAAAACTTATGACTGCCTTTGTGACGTGTGGAGAGTTTCGAAAACTTTCAGTGATTTGTGTTTGCCTTGCCAGGCACGTATGGGGGAAATGTTAATAATTGTTTAAAGTCCAGCCAATTGCAATAAATAAGTGGCCAACAAATCAAGCAGTGAATTGCTAATAGAATAAGCTTTAAAGCCCAAGTACAGTCACGCAGAAATAAGCACCCATATTTAACACAACGAAATAAAATAAAATAATTTAGATAGAAATGAATACATAATGTATGTAAGTAATTTGTAGTACTCAACCGCTTTCTAGCTATAGTTGTATGGCTGATTTGGTTTCATTTGTTCTATTCTAAACAGGCAAATTTGTTTGCCAAAACTTCAAATCTATAACCATAATTATCCACAAGTTTATGTCCTGTATATTTATTTAGCACAAGTACAATAGATTTAGGCAGGGACTGAAGAGAACCGGTACCGGTACCGAAACCGGAACCGGAACCGTTTCCTTTTCACGGAACCGGAATAGGAACGAAACCGAAATTTTAATTTTCGATGGAACCGAAATTGGAACCGGAACCGCTAACAGATTTTTATAGGAACCGAAACCGGAATCGGAACCGGTATTCCAATCGGTTTCAGTCCCTGGATATATGTGTAACCATATGTTGACGCAATATAATTTTTACACCAAGATGCGTATACGCCAAAAAATTGTGAACCGAAAAATTCACTGGAACCGAAATATCCGTTATTTGTAAAATTATAACATTATTAAAAATAAACCGGAATTTGTTTTGCCTTTATATTTACTTTATTTGGAACCGATTATTCGAATATATAATATTTTTTAGTAATGACCAAATATATCTAAGTATAAAAAAGGAACATAATTTATTTCATACATCGACTTCAGATCCCTGGAATAATTGTCATTAGGGTATTCAGCATGCGACTTGTGAACGATTTTTAGGAGCCTCAGAAATTGTGATTATATTGGGCTTGTGTCAACTCTGTAAGAAAAGTATGATTGCTAATGTTACGAAAAAGTCAAAGAGTAGGCCTGGAATTTAGTTGTCTGTCGCTTTCAACCCCTCGTTCATAAAGGTATGTTTGTAAGCATAGTAATAATTATTATTGTGAATTCTAATTTTGTTGACCTATAAGAAAATGCCGGCCAGACGAAGCGAGCGGATTCGGGCTCGTCGGGAAGCAAGTGATGCACCAGCAGCTAGAAATGAAACCAATTCGCGCCTTGCAATTAGACTGCCACGGATGCGCCCTCCAAATGCCCCAGCTAGAGTATCTCGGGTGCTGAGAGCTCTTTCGGTTCCTTCTGGTGCTCCTGCTGGTGCGCCTCCGCGGAATCGTGCCAGGGCTCCTCCACGTGCCACTCGTCGTGCTCCGCAACGTGCTTCTCCTCGTGCTCCTCCTCCTCCTCCCCCTCCTGCCGATTTACCCACAAATTTAGAGGTCGAGATGGTCGTATTAAACAGTGTGCCAATGTCCTTGCCCGCGACCGTAGTGCCCACTCGAGGAGACCCCATAGCCACCGCCAGACTGCAGAAGGAGTTCATGGGGTTCGCCAAGGAGGCCACAGAGGGATGCAAGGTGGAGCTTGTGGACGATAACATCTTCCACTGGATAGCCACTATTCCAGGTCCGCCGGATACGCCGTACGAGGGAGGATTTTTCAAACTGGACCTGGTCTTCCCCACCAACTATCCATTCCAGCCACCCCATGTGGAGTTCCTGACCAGGATCTTCCACTGCAACATCACGAAGCTCGGCTACATTTGCCTGGACATTCTCAGGGAGAACTGGTCGCCGGCACTGTCGGTGTCCAAGGTCCTCCTCTCCATAATGTCCCTGCTGGCCGATCCGAACCCAAGCGATCCCCTGGAGCCCGATATCGCCGACCTCTACAACTGGGATCTCACACAACACAATGAGAATGCTCGCAAGTGGACCAATCAATATGCCAAGCCGTAAGGGAGCGAATTCGAATTCAAAATGGTTTTTTCAAAGATGTTTATTGAATGTTTTTGTGCCAGCACTTTTTGGTGTATTTAAAACGGTTTATACGACGACACTAAAATACATACGATAGCGATATACATATAGAGTACATGGAATTACGGCTACTTAACCCACCTATGTTCCAAATTCTGATTAAACATATATTGTAGATCTAGTATCCTATATGCAAAGGAATAAATTTATACATGTTAACTTAGCTCTACATTATTCTAGTTCAACTTGTGATTGTGGTGCCGAAGTCGGTTAGTTGGTACAGTAGGATGTTCGTCAAGCAGGTGGTAATTTCATTTACTTAACCTACTTCGCATTTGAGTTATTGAGTGGGCAATATCCCGATTGGTTAGCTGTTCCTAAAGTAGTAGTTAACCTTTCAACTAAACGAATTCATTTTATCTACGCTAAAGTCCTTTGGATTGTGGTATAGTTGATTTTGTAGCTGGGCCCGCGAACCCGCGCCTTCCTCATTTGTTCTTGGGCAAATGGCGTTTCATGTGGAGTGCCAAATGATCGCTCCTCGCAAAACTCCTTTCGCAGACGATGCACTTGAAGGGTTTGGCGCCCGTGTGCTTCCGGTAGTGTCTAGTCAGCTCATCGGATCTGGCGAATCTCCACTCGCATTCAGGCCACTGGCAGGTGTACGGCTTTTCACCTGGGAAAACAAAATGTTGGATCCAAGATCAGTATGGTGAAGAAACATATATTTACTGAAATATTCAGGGGCTAAATCTGAGATTATTGGGGAAGTTTCTGGGTGAAAAATGGAACATATTTGATTATTTCTATAAAAGAAATATTCAACCTAAAAAATTTCATTTTGGACATACATACTTTCAAACTTGAACTGATATGAAAACATAGCGGAAATAATTGAGAATTAATTGATACTTCATTGTTTTGGCCATAGCAAAATGACAACAACAGAACGGCAGCTGCAGTAGTTTGCTACACAAGTTTGCATGTTGTGTATTTTGTACTTTGTGATTTCTATTACCATTTTTTCTACCCAGCCAAAGACATTCGAAAAAATTCCACCGGCCGGTGAGCGAAACTCTTTGTTATTGGCACCGCTCTATGACTAATTCAGACCTGCCGAAAACCCCTTCAATTCCAAAGGCGACATAAACATAAACATTCGTGTTCAAATTTAAATTGAAATTGAATGAAATAATTATTGCGGCTAGAGATTTGTGAGCGAACTTGACATTTTTTGGTGGCCTGGTTGAGTTTTATGGAGCGAATCGAATGGGTTATCCATGGGCATAATCCAATTGGATTGGTTTCGATATTTCGGTGCTGAAAGACAGCTATTCGAAGGTGCCCTAAAGTCAAGCGATTGCTAAATTCATAGACATTTTAATTGGTTTAGGTTCTAAGGCATAGAAATTTAAAAAAAAAATTAAGACTTTTTTTTATTAAATTGCATCTTTCTCCCCGAACTTTCCCCCATTCATCCAGTTTTCCTACCCTCTTGAGCCCATCTCCCATCTCAATCTCGAGATCTCAGCCAACATCAAAGCGAGTAGACTTGTGATTGTTGTTTATTATTTTGTACATCGAACAAACGCACAAATTTTGTTTGGTTTTCTCGGACATTTCGGGGGCCCTCGAACCCAAGAGATCTCGAGTGGCACTCAGCTGACACTTTGCCGGGGATTTCGGATAGAAACCCAATGCCCCTCGACTCGTGGCGTGACTTATTGGTTTATTTAGATCTCTTTTAATGAACTTAAGTGCCTCGAGATGCGAACATAATCGGGGGATCGCGGGCTTAGATGGACACGTGGGGCTTTGGATTCCAAAATGGCCAAACGTGGTGAGTCACCTGGCCCAGAATGGGACATTAAAGACCTCCCGGCCGTGGGAATTTAATTTGGCAATGAGGCAGCCACAACTCGGCCGCAAACAAAGCAAATGCCTGGCAAACAAACAAAAGTTATGTAAATGTTGTTTTGTAATGTGCGATGAACGCAATGCGATAAGCGCAGCGGAATTACTTCATAATTATACCCTTACTGTAGTAAAGGTATTTTATTGTAAAAGTATGTAACAGCTAGAAGGATGCGTTTCCGACCCTATAAAATATATTCTGATCAGGATCACAAGTGATCTAGCCATTCCGCTGTCCGTCTGTCTGTCCGTCGTCCGTCTGTCCGTCTGTCCGTCGTTGTCCGTATGAACGCTAACTCGGAAACTATAAAAGCTAAAGATTACATTTCAGATTAGAACCACAATTTTTTTTCAAAATGGTGCCACCCCCTTTAAGCCACAATGTTATATACGATTTTTAAAATTTAAATATTTGGAAAAGTAAATCAGTTTATTGTATTTATCAATACCAATGTAGAAGAAATTTTTTTAATTTAACATTTTTTTTAAAAATTTTTTTTTTAAAAATTTTTTTCTCCCCCTCCCCCCCCCTCCCTTTACCTGAGTAACGGGTATGATAGTCGGGGCACCGACTATAAGTTCTCTCTTGTTTTACTTACAGCCGCGATAAGGTCTCCCAATATAAATAAATTCAGGCTCCAATGGACTAGAGCCCCGGGCTGTAGCAAACCATAAAAGACCTCCTCCAGTCGCTGGGCATAAAATCAAACTAATTTATGGCAGCGCGAACGTATTAGCAAACAAATCAGTACAAAATAAGCCAGTTCCAGCCCGAATCCGAATCCGAATCCTAGGGCCAGGCTGTGGATACTGGACTGCAAATTGGAGACTGGCTGTGAGATAGCGAAAATTTATGCGTTCGCCGCTTGCATAAAGATTAGTTACCAAGTGATTTTCTAATCGACGCAGCCAGATAAAAACAAAAAGCCCAAATAAAAATGACAAATTTACGAGCCTCTAGGTTTCTGTGATGATATGAAGATGAGAAGAAGTGGGAATGGATGGAAACGAGGCAGGGAAAAGGTTGGAAGTAAAAATAAACAAAGGAAAAAGCCGATTTCAACGTTATTTTAACAATGTACGATACCCTACAACGTTGCGTAAATTTCTTTAAAATCTTTTACTTTATTTCTTTACCAAATCATACAAACTCAAAGCATAACAGCTAAGTTCAAAATATTATTAAGCATTAAAAAAACTGTTTATAGACAACATTTTTGCCTTGACCAATTCTGCTAATGGATCTCTTCGCTCCTCGCAAACGAAAGACTTAGGCAACGAACTTGCCACGGACAGCTCGATGACTCTGGCAAATATTTGCGGTGGAAATCTCTCAATCTCGCCACTTTTCTCCCCCCCTCTTCCCCCGGAAAACTCTTCAGTTCTCAGCCCGGCGTTGCTAATCAGCAGAGACAACAGCCTGGTGGCGCCTCAAAAATGGCATGAAAAATGTGTGTGTGCTTGCATCGAGTAGGGGAAAATCAATGAAATCTATGAATGGGCTGGGCTTTGCCGGAACGCTAACTAACTCGAAAGCCAAACAAACCGACAGCCATCAGACGGTAGCCAAGCATTTCTGCATCTCAAGCTGTCTGCCACTCTGAGAATTGCGAAAGTTCGGCTTTAATCAAATCCAATATATACCCGGCCCGGAATTCGTGTTGGCCTGAAGCGGCGTGTTACGATTTAGCCTCAAATTGGAACGAATACAAGAACTTTTGGCGATCTCAAGGGAACCCATTTAAAGGCCGGGGTAACGTTAACCCACAGATGCCGACCTTTCGACGATGGGGCGTTAACTTTATCAGCTGAGTGAAAATCACCGCTGCGCACAAAAATCATAATAATAAAAATGTTTTTAAAGGCAGCGCTTTAAAGTGCGCATAAATCAGCTGGTCATGTGCGATTAATAAAACGGCGGAGAGATGGGATTCTGCCATCCATTTTTTTTTTATTTTTCCTTTTTTTTTCTTTGCCTTTTAGTATTATTTTTCCCTCTTCTTTTTTGTGGAGTTATTAAACGTGCGGCCCATAAAACGAAGACAGGTGATCTCGGTGATCGGTGGCCAGCGGATCGTCAAGTGTAATCCGAGCAAGGAGGAAATGCAGGCCAAACGTGCGCCCAGCTGATGGCGTTGGCGATTGCCGATTGCCGATGTTGCAACTGCCAACTTGCAACTGCAACTGACCACAAAAAATGGAGAAAAAAAACGTAGCCAGAGCCGCAAAAACAAACCGTACAAATCACGATTTTCGCTGCGGTTGCCTCCGTGGTGCAGAAATTGAAAATGAACAGCACACAGAAAATTATTTTGAAGATCAACGAGATGAGATTACATTTTGAATTTAAATGGGGCCTTGAAAACACCCTAAAAATTATTTTGTTAATTTTAACAATAAATACTTTTAAAGTCTTAATAAAATGAAAACTATAAACTGATGCGATTGACAAACAAATCTGTTTAAAAACAATCAAACTTTTATCAGTTTAAAAAATCTATAAAGTAATCAGGTGTTTTGAAAAACCTAAAACTTAAAAATATGATAATATTTTGATTAGAATTCTTTTCTTGTCAAATGAGAAAAGGTTTTTATATTTGTTCTCAGTGCACGGCACTCAAAAAAAAGGCGCTCGAAGCTCTCTGGGCCTTGGCAAATTATGTGCTGGCAACTACAAATATGAGCGCGCGAATTAATCAAAAGGCGACGGTTGCCCAACGTCCCGAAAAAACCGAGTGGTGCAGCTGTTCGCCGGTGGCTCATCGGTGGTTCAGTGGTGCAGTTGGGTCGGCTTTTTGTTCAGTGGTGCACAGCCCACATGCGAGCTGAAGGATCGCAGTGGACCAATCCGCGACAGCGGGTCATAGTCGGGGTCACCAAGTGGGTGGTTGGGATTTAAATGGGGTCTTTGCTCAAGGGAAAACTCACCGGTGTGTATCCTTTGATGGGCCTTCAGATGCGAGCTCTTCGTGTAGACCTTGGAGCAACCTGGAAGGAGATTATAGGAAAAAGATGTAAAACCAAGCGTTGTCTTTTTAATTTTTAGTGTTTTAACTAAAGTACTGATGGCAAAACAAATTCAAGAAAACTCATAGTGGCTATTATATCGAGAAATTAATTACACCTTCCCAAGGCTAAAATTATCAAATAGGTTTTAAAATGGTTATGGTTAATTATTTGGCGCCCCAAAACCAAAGCTCAAAAATATAAAGTCCATATATCTTTTAACTATTAAAATGAACTTCACTGAAAATATTGTGTCTTTAAAAACCACAGCTTAAAACCATTTATTGCCTGTAATTGTTTATATCTTCGAGCATCTGAAGGCTATAACATTTGTTGAGTGCACTTGCTCACTTTCGCATTTCCCCTTCAACACAATATTAGATATCACAATAGAGGAGCATCGAATCTCGAGTCCGGATAGAAGAGCCATTTCCAAAAAAAGTGGGTCAGTGGGCGTGGGCCATTAATTAGCGAGTGAAAGTTGCACGAGATTCAGCAGCAACCAGCGAGATGCAACATGCAACCTGCAACACCGCAGAGCGAGTGACATTTATGAGGCACTTTAGTGCCCCTTTCCCAAAAAGGATTTCCCGGGGATCCCCGCACGTACGGCTCTAATTGAAAGCTGCCTTTAAACGTGCCACGAAACACAATGCCTCGAAGAATGTTGCTGACAACCAGCAACTTGCAGCAGCAACTGGCGACCAGCAACTGGCATCCAGCAACTGGCAACTGGCAACTAGCAACCTGCAACTTGCAACGATCGGCGACAGTTAGACAGTTGGAGATACCAAAAATCGCAGCCGAATCGGAGGAACTCCAGACATAACTCACTGTCTGATGCGTGCGCTTATGGCATAATAACTTCATTTGGACAGCCTTTCGGTCGCAGTTGCCTCAAAATGGCCATGGCCAACGTGTCAGACAATTGTCAATTATTTATTAGTGGCAACGCACGTAGTCGGCTACGAACAAGCGACATTGGGACACGGACGGCATGGAGTTTGGATTTCTCAGATTGGGCCAGACAGCGTCGCCTTAAGTGCTTTTTGGGCCGTAATAGTGATCCATCGATAGCTAATGGATAGTATTTGAAGCGGTTCTCTGCGGAGACTGCGGGTGATGTGATCTCATCCTCGGTTTACGCCGATCTCGACGAGATTAAGCTAACAGTGAGTTTATTTCATTGGGAGATCTTAAAGTGATTCAAAGCCACTCTAAAATTAGATTCGTTTGACGCGAGGGTGCTGTTAAGTATTCCAAAGATTAATTGCCAGCGATATTTTCTATTGATAATTCTTTTTAAGTTCTTAATTAAAAATATATTAAAATTTCTGTCCATTTGCTCACTGATAATATAATATATTCTCCTGTATCTTAATTCATTTCAGAACTACCGATCATTTTTCCCCCATTGATCATCGCTGACTCAATGATCTCTCGCCCACCTATGACATTGAAAACGCATATTGGCCAGGCTAATATAAAACATGCAACTGTAACAAAAGCCCAGGAAAGTGGAAGGTGGCTCGAAGCTCTTACATAAATATGGCAATTGGCTAATTAGAATTACAAAGAAGGCAATTGAAAAAGCGCCACAACAGCGACTGCGACACCAGAAACTTGGCAGCGGGAACTGTCAGTCGCACAGCAAGAAAACAGAAAACAGAAAGATAATAAATAAATGTATAGATAAATAGAGAATAAATAAATGCCGATTGGAAAAACGCGGCACGCATGCGCAATGAGGATCGCACGTGGAGTGGAGTTAGCTGTTGGCTGAAAGTGGGCGGAAAAGGGGCGGAAAAGGGGGCGCAAGGCGACTTTGTTACGAAAAGTGTCGCAAAACGCGCCAAATGATAAATGATATGGCGGCATGCAGCGACTAACAATCAAAGATGAGGAAGCGCATCTCCAGAGATCTCGAGAAGATGGCATCTTGACAAATAAGGGTATGTAGAAAGCTTTTCTATTTTTAAGACTATTTCAACAGTTTTCTTTTTAATATTATGTTGTGGTATTTTTCCAGTTTTTTACTTTGTTTACTTAACTTATGACAAACTCAAATGTTGTTAGACTTTTTCTGATATTTGGTAGGGATTCTCTTGGCTTTAGCTAGATATTTGATCTTGTTATTTTGTTTAGGTTGAAAAATGTTTTTAATTTTTGAAACCAAAGCATTTTAAAGGTATTTCCTTAAATGTATTTTACTCACCCACGAAATCACAGTGGTGAATGCGTCGCTTCTCCAACTCGGGATTATTCCGGCGGTTGTAGCGCACTGTGCGCACACTCATCAAACTGGCGATGTGTGCCGCCGTTCCTGGTTGGTGGTGCGAGTGCCGGCCACGCCTTCCGCCCCCCGAAGAGCGGGGGGTGGGGGGTGGTTGCTGTTGCTGCTGCACCTGCTGCTGCTGCTGGCTGCTGCTGTTGTTGCTGCTGCTGAATGGCACTGGCGGGCGTTAAGGTGGTCAGAGTGGTGGTGGCGGTGGTGCAGCTGCCGTTGCTGCCCGTGACTGCACCACCCAAAAGTTGCAGCGTGGGCGGTGGGTTGATCAGGCCCAGCACATGACCTTGCTGGTAGGGCGGCGGGGGGTGGTGCGGCGTTGGGCGGCTGCTGCGGCGGCGGCGGCCACCATTGAGCTCCCTGGACTGCCGGGATCCGAACTGGGCGGGGTCAGAGGTGGCACGAACATATGGCGACTGGCGGAGGAGGCCGATGACGAGGAGATGGACGAGGAGGAGGCGGAGGGGGTGCTGGGTGCCGCGGGGGGACACAGTTGCTGCAGTTGCTGTTGCTGCTGCTGCTGTTGTTGTTGTTGCTGTTGAGCACCGAGTTGAGCTGTGGGCGTGGCAGTGGCGGAGGCGGTGGCTGACGCAGCGACCGATGGCGGGTGTATTTGGTATTTGGTGTGGAAGGTCTGTAGAGTTCAATAAGGGGGAGAAATTTTAATTATTAAACACTTTCTTCTAAAATCTTAAAATACTTTAAAATTTGAGGTGATGTAATAACATTGGAATTACAATTTACATATGATTTTAAGATTCTATATTTCAAAGCACTTCAATGTATTCCTAACTTCTTAATCTTTTAATTTCCTCATGGATTTAATTAATTAAAAAAAAAATCATATATGTTTTATGTATTTAAATAGATACTCTGAGAACTATAGATTTTTAAGGGTTTTCACGCTCGCCTTTTGAAGAATAAAAATCAATGTTTAGAACTGAAGTAGCAATCATTTTGGAAAAGTTTTTGAACTTCTCAAAATTTTGCTGTTGTTCATAGCTTTTTTGTGGGTTTATTTTTTTCTGAGTGCTATTGCTTATCGCAGATGTGGCAATGTTGCAAATGCAAATCCCCGTCACTCACCTGACTGCTGTGCCAGCTGTAGCCGTAGGAGTTGCTGCTGCTACCGTTGAGATAGCCGCCGCCCGATCCGGCGACCAATTGAGATGCGTACTGTTGCTGATAGGAGGAGGTGTTGCTGCTGCTGTCGCCGGGGGTCGCCAGTTTGGGGCTGCTGCTGCTGCTGCTGTGCTGCAGATGTTGCAGCTGCTGCTGCTGCTGCTGCTGTTGCAGTTGCAACTCCACCACCTCGACAGCGGGTGGCAAGCCCGGCAGCGACAAACTGGGATGATGCTGGTACAAGTGCTGCTGCTGATAATGTTGCTGATAGTGTTGCTGCTGGTATTGCTGCTGCTGATGTTGCTGCTGGTGTTGCTGCTGCTGTTGCTGATGTTGCTGCTGTCGCTGCTGCTGCTGCTGTTTCTCGGTCTTTATCTCCAGGGGACTGAGCAACGGGGTCGAGAAAGTCTCCAGCAAACTCTCATCGATCGCCTCCATCTTGACCTGCGGCAGCTGCGATGTTGCAGGTTCGCCGGTGTTGCTGCTGCCGTTGCCGCTGTTGCTGCTGCTGTTGCCACCGTTGTTGTTGCTGCTGCTGCTGCTGCTCAGCATGAGCGCGTTCTCCGGATCGATATTTTGGATTGAGGTAGTAATATCGTCCCAGAGCACGGGTCGCTGGTAGGGATCGTCCAGCGGATCGGCGTAGAGAGCCTCTTTGTTTTTGGTTTCTGTGTGCAATCGAAAATGGATAGAAAAGCGCCTTATAATCGTCTGCTAACACTTTATGCAAATCGCCGGCATGGGGAATTATTAATGTACACAATGAAATCTCGCATATGCATGAAATTTCTAAACAGCTGCTCATTTGTTTGACTATTTTTAGAGTCGCTATTTAGCGAAGGGGGGTCCGCAATCAGAATTGAAACTTTTCGTCTAGGGTTGGAGGTGTTTATTGATAGGCTTGGGTTCAGTGATTGATGGAGGGGAATCTACTTAACTAAAAAAAAAATTAAGTCCCAAGAAATGGCATTTTGGAATTATGGCTTAAAAATGATAAACGCCTTTTACCTTTAAATAGGTATATTTTTAATACTTCGAGTTTTTGAAGAATACACTTGACTTTAAATCTGTTTTTACTTGAAAGTGTTTTAAGTGGTGTTCCATAGCTAAAAACAATTGGTTAGCGATTTGATTTTAAAAGTGCGGATAAATTAAATCTAATTAATCGATTTTAAATGTTCCTTATTTGTGTGATTGTCAGCTAAAGCTCATTGCCTGTTCGTGGCGACCCCAATCTGTTTTGTGAGCAGGGTCTCCGGCTTGTCTGCGTTGTTTTTTGGGCGGTTTCAGATTTCACATTTCGGCACCGAACCGCAAACACGTTGCCATCGCTTGTTTTTCTCTACTTTGCTATTGACTTGCGAGATTTCACCATGCGTGTAATTTTGTGTGCCCATCAAAGTTCCCATTCCCACTGGCAGTCTCCCCCGATTTACCCACCATATAGATACTCCTTGTCGCTGGAGGTCGCACCACCCGCTGCCGCACCAACCACCGCACCACCGTAGCCCAAAGCCACATCGTAGGGCGCACCGTCGTAGAGTGGGGCACAGCCGTAGGCTCCGTTCGAGTTGGAATTCGGGGATCCGGCGGGCTGGAGTTGCTGGTGTTGCTGCTGCGACTGTTGGTGTTGCTGCTGTGCATGTGCAACATCGCCGACGTACGAGGGGGCGGTGAGGTGGGGCCACGCCTCCGATGCACCACTTTCGCCACTTTGCAGGCTGTGCGAGTGGTGCTGCTGGTGCAAATGGTGGTGCTGGTGGTGGTGCTGATGGGAGTGATGGTGGTGCAGGTGGTGGTGGAACTGATGCTGCTGATGGCCGCTGGCCGCCAAACTGTTGTTGTTGTTGTTGCCGGTGGGTGTTTGGCTGCCGTTGCTGTTGTTGCTGCTGCTGTTGCTGCTGTGATTGTTGTTGCTGCTGCTGTTGTTGTTGTTGTTATTGTTGTTGTTGTTGTTCCCAGCTGCGGCGGCTGCTGCCAGAACCTCAAGCTCAACATCGGCTGGCTCGATTTTATGCAGACGCCCCATCAGCTCGTGCCGATAGTCAAGTTCCGGGGACTGAAAAGGGGGGAAAAAACGGAGAGAAAACTTATGAGCAATTGAAGAAAAACACTTGCAAAAAAATAACTACAGATGGTCAAGATATATATTTTAAAAATAAATCTTTATTGACTTACAATTTTCTAGCTAAGAGAAAGTTGGTAAATATTTTGTTTCCTTAAATATAAAATCAATTTCTAAAATTACTTGACCAACAAAATAAATAAAAACTAGTTAGCATATTCGTGTAACTTTTGTGCGAGTTATAATTATGTACAAAGAACTCTGAGAGAATTTTTTCCTTAGTGTAAAGTGTAAAGTCTTAGCATCTCGTGTGCTAACGTATATGACCCATTCGGCAATCACAGCTCCATACCATCTTATTTCTCTTCTTTGGCGTCCAGCTCTATCTGCGCCGCTTCCCTCCCATAAATTTTGATTAAACTTTTATCGCCCTGCAACACTTTGAGCTGCCACTTGAGCAATCTCGTGCCCACTGCCCACTGCCCCCTGTCCGAATCATTCGAGTCTTATCTTTACGTTCATTTCTTTTCTCCGACTTTATTTTTATTGCATTCTTCGCTTCAATTTCGTTTTGCTCGGCACCGAAATTTGTTGTTTGTAGATTTGTCCTCTGATTTTTATTTTTATTTCGATTTTGATTTTTATTTTTATTGCCGCAGCCCGGGATCTTAATGCTTATGCGCTTTTAGGGGAATGCATGTTCGTTGTCTAAGTCATTCGTTTTGAGTGGGGTATTTGTCGAATTTGAATATCTCTTCGCGAGCTGCGCAAACGAGAACAAATAGAAACGCGCTAAACTTGTGGCTTTTGTCATGCAAAGACTGCTTTTTTTTATTTTTGTTTGCGGACTTGAGGCCTACAGATTGATAATTCTGGAGATGATTTACACATCAAGTTCACTTCCCATACACCACGGTTTTTATGGAATTTTCTTTGGCCTTTTGTTTTAACTTGTGCTGTTACTTGAAACGTGTTCCTTGTTTCTGCGACTTGATTGTCTTTTGTTTTATTTAATTATAAGTGATCAGAGAATGGCTAATTTATGGGAACACTTAAGGTGGTTTAGGCAAACATAATAATCGTTTGGCAAATTAGTGAAATTTTTTATACCCGATCGAGCCGGGCTTTTCACATGCAAATGATGAGGCCAAGGGCCCATATATCAAACCAACTGTCGATCGGCGAAGGCTGGCCATAAAAAATAGCAGAAACCAACGAAAATCTGACTCAAATTCGAGAAATGCCCGACACTGACTCACTCCCACCGAACAAAACTTCGAAACTCCGACAACAAATGTTGGCTCGTTTCTGTTTTATGAGCTGAAAATTTACGAGCGTGGCAAATTATTTTAGCTGCAATATTTTTGCGCCAGCATTTTTCATTTTATTGGCTGCGGTCGCTTTATTTTCTTTCCTTTTTTTTGGGCTATGGATTTTTGCCAGACCCCCATGGTACTATTTTTATTTTTGTTTTTTGGGCTTTTGAGTAATGTTTGCTCGCCGCTGAGGTCAACATGGCGTGTGATAATTTTAATAGATTTTTGTGTTTCATTGCGGGTCGTATGAGTAATGTCTGGAGCTGCCATTTTCCGCCGCGAAGTGTGGAGCTGTGGTTTTCCACGAACCACAGAGTTTTCCAACTTGGCAAATGTTCTGTGTTCTGAATGGGGTTTTTTCATTTTGTGGAGTGAGTTAGTTAGTTGTCGCGCTAGGGCGCATTTAGTGGGCTCCCCACGCAAATGACCTCATAAGAATGCGTGGAGCGTCGTCTTTGGAAGCCTCGCGGAATCTTTAAGTGGGTTCGATTGGACTTTGGGAGCCAGCTCCCAGCACCAAGCAACAAGCACCACCACCGTCCAAACGGTAATTGTGTGACAGCCAACAGAACCACAAACATGAATTTCAATTATGAACTTTTCTGTTCTTTTGGACATTTCTTCTGGCCGAGGTGAAATTATGCTCAGGTACTTATAATTTCAATTTCTTTGTACCGACTGGCACGCAAAAGTATTTTTATTTATTTATGATTTTTTCGAGCATTAAAATGCCGTTGTCAATAATCACTTCTGACGGCAGCGTCAATAAATGGGTATTATGTACGTATAAAAATTTGCATAAATTGTACTGGAGAAGGGAGTTCGAATGGCCGGTCTGTCCCGCTTTTGTCTGTGAGTTATTTGCCCATTTTGTGTGGAAGTCTTTGAACATTTTTTGTTATTGTTTATTGATCTGACCCATTTGGAGTGTTGATGAATTGGGTTTTAGAGCCTAGTGTTGTAAAATTGCAGCTGAAGCAGTCGCGATAATGATTTATTCACTACGAGAAATTATAATTGTAGAAAGGGTCAATTGCTTTTACAATTACTTTTAGAGAGGTGTCATTTGCTTGAGTAGGTAACTATTTGGGTTTATGGAAGTGGCCATAGTTATGACTTAGTAGCTAAAAGAGACAAAAGCTTAAAGAAATTAAATATGGAAATATTTTCGTTTTTTGATTTGTTAGCTGAACCTTCAAAGTGGCTACCAAAATAATTTAAATATGTTTGAGGTGTGACTTTGCCACTTATAGAAATAACTACTATTTATGAGTTAAACGTCCTAAAGAATTTCTTATTAGGAGTTGCTTTCAATTGGTTTTGGAATCGCTTTAATTTTTGGGGTTACCACAACATTGTTATTTGTTGGAGAGTTATGAATTTATTATAGTTGGTGTTACTATTGAATTTAAATTGTTTATGCCTTTTATGGAGGTCGCCACCATATATTTTAAACAATCTGTTTAATAGGTAAATAACAGTTATTAATTATTTAATATTTAATTTAACTGTCAAAAACAGTAAAATCTTAATTACTTCAAAATAACATTTAACAAATCCTTAATATCTGTGAAATTATTTACAATAATTTATTGTTGAGGCAAAACCTCTCGTGCCACTTTCCCTGCAATTCAACCTGTCGGCAATCTCAAAAGGCAAACAAAGGCTTCGTTTTCACCGGCAATACTTGTATAATTTGAGTCGATTTTCTCATATTCCGCGTCTCGAATTCGGCATGCCCCGTTTCGAGTGCATTTTGCGGCTGTTTAGCGATTCGTTTTGGTGATTTTTCATAGCCATCTCTGACTTTTATGTGGACTGACAGGCGATGGCGTTGACTGGTTGCGGCTTCTGCCGCAGATGCACTGTGCAACCAGCACCCAGCAACCTGCAAAACATTGCAAGTGCAACTGCAACTGCAACCGAAGTTGCTGCTTTGGCATTTCTCAGGTGAATGGCAGCCGAAACGTGATGAGTTGCTTGGGTCTTAATGGCCAAGAGCGTTAAGTGCACAAATAAAGTTGTTAACTATTGTTTAACGCCACCGCCATGGAAAACAAGACATTGCTGTACCTACACATGTAGTGGGGACAAAAAACAAGACACAAAAAGGCAATATTTATATGAAAAACAAGCAGAAAGCATAAAAAATAATGACAAACATAAATATCAACTTTACGAGTGCAACGTGACTTCATTTAAAATCGAACAAAATATGCAAAATAAAGCACTGGCAACTCGGATACGCACGCACACATACACGTACGGACACCAATACATATAAGCCCGTCGCACGTGCGTGTTCGTGGTCAAGAACCTCAGACCAAATTTGGCACTTGCTGCGAGAAATGAAAACAAACAGGGAAGCCAACAAATATACCTCCAAAAAAAAGCCCATAAAAATTAATAAATTTTATGTTCCATTATATACGTTGTTACTCTTTTTTTTGTTTCTTTAAACAACTTCGGAGGCCGTTTTGCATTTTAAAGAGCCGTCGTCTACCGCGAGCCCCGTTCACCATTCATTCGGCTGACATTTCTTTTCAATTTGCCTCTATCTATTAACGACCATCAATATGCCAAAAATAACTATATAAAAAAGATGTCAAATTGCCAACTGTTTATCTTGTATTTTTACCTCTATTAATGCGAGGCATTTTCTTAGCCTGCCTTGATATTGAGCCATAAAATTGGCCATTTTGCGTTCGATCTTGGCGGCTGCGACAGCTGCGCATAAAGTCGCTCATAAATGTCGCTCCATAAAACCCGTAAGAAATGGGTCCAAATCATATCAATAACAAAAGCATTTGAACTGCGGGAAGCGATAAATTAAATGCCTAAATGGTCCGACCAGAATGGGGTTATAAAAAGTCAAGAGAGGTGCCCACACAAAAGGCCAGCGGATAGCGATCTAATTGGTGCTGTAATTCCCAAAAACACCCAAAATATGATAGTCTTTACAAGAGATGGGCTTTCTAAAGCGGGCAATCGACTTCATTAACGGCACGTGCCGAATATCAGTTCATCAACGGCTCAAGTAATTCCCCCCCACACACCCAGTGCAAAAAAATATATATATATAAAATGAAACAATGAGTACCTGACTTTTGTGATAAGGCCAACAAAAGGCTGCTTAGAGCCAAGTGAGATGTTTTTGGCAGATAAGCAGAAGCGAAAAGTAATTGCTAGGCCAAGACAAAAAGCCAGAAAGAAAGGCAAGAAAGCAATGGTAGAAATGCTATAGCACCATATAATCGTTAAATAATCGATGGCGTATTGTTCGGCAAACCAATTGCCAATCGCGCCCCAGGGCCAAACTTCAATTGAGTGCAAAAAAGAGAGATATGTATAGGAAGGTAGGTAGGTTGGGTATATAAAAAAAATATATTTCCTGAAATTTTGTTTAATGAAACGACGGCTAATGTTTATTATCGCGCGCCAGTGAAAGTTTCCATTAAGGCAGGAAGCGAATAGACTTGACGCCAGAACAAGTTCGCTGCCTGAGTCTTTCGTTTGGTGAGGGGCGAGAGCAAGTTCGTTGCCAGAGTCTTTCGTTTTCGTGTTGAAACCAATGTCAAATCTCCCGGGCTTGACCCTCTTCAAAGCCCACGGATCGCCGATAAGTAACCCCAAGCCCCCGGGCGCCATAAAAACTAAACGCTAAACCATAAAACCCAA